GTCTATGGCTCCCTCTAAATCCTGGTCTCATGAGAGTTGCTGCTTTGCTTGCTGTCATTTGCATTTCTGCTATTCAAATCTCACAGCCTTTTTATATCTTCACAGGGTTTGCCTGCAAATATATTAAGTATTTTTATTTTTTGTAAGGATTTAATCCTCCCCAAAAAGTATCTTATCTACTTGGTTGCTATTTCCCTTGTCTCAGCCACACGGCTGGTTTGTTATCAAGCAGTATGCCACACTTCAATAGCACTCTTTTCTCCCTCCCCTCTGCCACCCTTCCTCTTTTTCCCATGCACAGACACCACAACACACACTCCTGTGTTTATACATCTGGCTTTTTTCATTTATACATTACCTTGTTTATTATCAGTTCAATTCATTAAGCACCACTGAGCTTTAACACCTCCGGGATGCACACATCACCTCCTCATGAGTGTTCCCCTGGGACAAACCCTCTGCAGCTGAGCCTGAGACTTCTTCAATGCTTCTTAATTTCAAAAAGCTACATCTAGAGAGCAGCCTAATATAGCATAATTCTGGCAGTAAAACAAATGCATTAAAAGATGTGCAAATTCAATTTATTTGTAACTACTTGTTCTCTTTGTAATCTCAGTGCAGATGGAAGAGATTGGTTTGGGTTCAGTACCGATTGCTAACAGCCCTGGAAGACAAAAATCTGCTGTATATGCCCAGAACCACAACACATCCAAATAAAATCATGGGGACAAGTAAGGTGCTTTGTGAGTAGCACAGCAAATGCAGCTTGGCTTGGATTGGTATTGTACACTCCCAGGACTATAATTTGGCACGTTTTTCTACTCTGATGCCACCAGTGTTCATGGACCGCGTAGCAATTTCATGTCTTTGAAACCCTTACCACCAGTCATACCTGAAATAAGCTGAGGGGTGTCCAAAATTTGCATGGGGTAGACTAGCAGAGAGATATATGGACTTCTTTTAGCTTGGTTAAAAGCCATGATCCATACCAATATATCTTTTAATTCCCTGCAGCTGCAAAAACATAACTGATAAACTAAGGACCAGCTTAACAAACTTCCATCTTGGTGCTTCATCAAATACAAAACCGTTCCCCAATGACAGTGAGTTCCATGAGCCTGGCTTCAAAGCTTTTGAAAAAGACTGAGGGGACTCACAGTGAGATAGAGGCTTCCTGGCTGCTCCCTATCCCTGTAACCCACAGTTTTGGGGGTATTTGCCCGTTCAGGCATAGCTAAAGACAGGGATGTAATGAATCAGAGTCTTCAGCTGCTCAGCTTCACAAATGGGTGTTTTAACCCTGACAAACCCCCTCAGTTTACAATAATATACCGAGTTATGACTGGAAGTGGCTGAAGAGCAAATGAATTGCCTGTTTTCTGTGTCTGGCCCAGGGGTTGTGGCCTCCAGCAGTTGAGCATCACAGGATGACCCAGCATGAAGCACCACAGCTCATCACCATAAGCAGTAAGCTGAGCTCCCCACCTCTGCCCAACCCCTCTTTTGGTGGTGAGGGGGAAGAAATTTGATTTGCATTTTGAGATGTTCTCCCCATTGGGGTTGGCTGAAAATCAGTCAGAGATTCAGAAGCTTTTGGAGACGGGATGTCTCACATGAGCTTTGTTTTCATTGGAAAGCAGACAAAAACCTGCTAATGGGCTTTGCCTTGGGTTTGTAAGGTGTGAGACTGCATGAAGTTCCTGTTCTCCCCAGGAAAAGCAAAAAACAGAGTGGCAGAACACTGCTCCAGAGCTGGGTCATGGGTACCCCAGCCTTTCCAGCTCACACACATGCAGCTATTGTGTTGCTTAGGGAAGAATGGTTCTTGTGTAAGCCATGACAAATAAAGGGAAACCAATTAAACCAACGTTTTCTTGTGCTTTTTCTCTGAAGTATATCCAAGAAATCCAGCCTCTGCACATACTCATGCTATCTATTCCTAAGTTGGACTTCAGTTGTTGTTCACTTTTCTACTTGATTCGCAACCATGCAAAGGTTCTGTCTTCTAAGGCTGCACCTCACTGCCAGGCTAGAGCTTAGCTTCAGCCTGGTAGAAGCAGATATCCACACCCTTCATATGCTCAAGTACTTGCCCTGGTGCTGGTTGTACCTTGCCTGTGTTCATACTGCATGCTCAGACCATGGAGAACAAGTTCTAACAAGGGTGACAACCCAGCTCAGGTGTGACACCAGGTGACTTCCACACAGAGCTTTATCAAGTGAGAAAAGCTCATTTGATTTCAGTGACAGACTTACTCCTTTAAAGCTCCCCTGTCTTTTTCCAGGCCTGCTTTTTGACTTGGCTTTTTAAATAAGAATCTTTTGAGTGGTACAATAGGTAAAGGCTACTGAAGTGTAGTACTGCTAGTACAGGGCCTGTTGACTCCTGCTCTTAGGGAGCAGTAGCTCCCACCTCACTCCCCAACTTCTTCTAAGAGTAGCAACAGCCGTTCTCACACCCACCCTGCCAACATCTGCCTCTCCAGAACCCCAGTGCCACCCAGTGCACCACTGGATGCAGCCATTTATCTATACCCTGAGGGTTATGGTGAGGAGCACCTGCTGAAGTCATATTTGCTTAGACTCTGTTCTCAAGAGATTTACTAAGACCTTGCTCAGCTATAGTGATTGACCTGAGCTAACTTCAGCAGGGCCCTCCTGTTGGTACAACTTGCAAGCCTCTCCTCAAAATGTTTTGGATCTTGTTTTGTCTCCTTTGCAAGTATGCTGGTGTCAAATGTTTTCAGTCTTTCTTTTCTGTGTGGACATTCCCTTTTCATTTACTCCAGTGAGATAAACTGGCTCTGATGGCTTTACTGCCTGAACATGACTTTTCTATAGTGCCTCTGGTTTTCTTTGGCCATGTTATTGACACTGGGTAATATAACATGAAAGGAGTGTGGATGGGCTTTTACAAAGAAATCAGCTAAATAGCTATTAGGGGATTAAAAGCAATTCCATGGCCAGGATTACACATCTTTAAACTGCTGATAATATCAAAGAGCAAATGGATTTGTAATTTAATGTCAGAAGAGGGAAGAATTCAGATGTGTGGGGTTTCTTTCACATTTGATACAAAGATTAAAGTGTCTGCATTTGGTGTGCAGGAGTTCGATAGATCTGTAGCATGGTTGCCTACAGATAGCAGTGTTCACCTTTCTTGTAAACAGTAATTGTGCCACATGGAGAGAATTCCCTGGTCAACATTTTTATTGAAACTTTGATTCTCATGGTGACAAGCTGGATCATTGTCTGCTTTCAAAGTCTGATAATGATACACTTTAGAAGCTTTGAAGAAAACCTTTGTCTAGACAGACACAGCTTAAGAAAGCTTTTGAAACGTAGCGTTCACTTTAAACCTTTGTTGACGTCTGTAGGAAGCATTGATCCATCTTTGGGAAATCTTGAGCTGTTTTCTACTTCCTTGTGCTAAAAATGTGCAAGGGATTTGCGTGACAACAGGAACTGTGAGAAATAGAAAGGTAAAACTTTCCTAAGGAGAGTACTTCAACCTGTGACAGTCTTTCCCACACAGAATTTCCTCTTCATCCAGAAATCAGTTTTCCTTTAAAATTAAATTAAGCTACACATGACATTCTAGCTTTTACAACTTCAGCATTAAGGTCCGATTGGGGGTATTTTAGGGACATCCCCAGAGATGTACAATATATACATAAAAGGAGCTATAGTTTTATTAAATGTAGATTTTAACCAGTCTCCTTGAAGTCCAGAGGCATTTTCCAGAATATTATTTCACAAAGTCCAGGTTTGGTTCTGACTGCAGGATATTTAGGATCTGCAACAAATAAACCAGTCCTATCTAGATGTGCAGCTGATCAGCCTGCATCTCACAGGGGAAGAGACATTCTACAGCAGTGACAGCCAAGCACAGGCACAGGTTGTGATGATTGTCACTCAGTTAGACTCCCTTTGAGGACCATCCCATTTGAGATGAAGCTGAAAGGGGGCAGAGCCACAGCCTAGTTCATTTCTCTGGATGGCCTAACTAGCTCTAGCATTTGAAATCAAAGGATTGTGGCTCCTACTTATATCTCTGTAGGGACCAAGCCTCCGTGATAACCATCTGACCTAAAAAACTATTTGGAGCGTTATCTGATGTGCCTGCCCAGGAAGTAACGGTCATTCTGGTAATTTTTATGTTGATTCAGTTTGATCTGGTTATGAATTGTCACTACGTGCACATTAACCACTTTTAACCTTCAGAGTGCTTTACAAACAACTATGTTTCACAGAACTTGTCTCAGATATTCTGAGGAAGTGTATGGTTTTCGCAGGTAGCAAAGATTTAACCTCTGCTCTGACAGAACAGTGCAATTGAGGCTTACTGACAAGGTTACCAGCAGCACCACCGTATTTCTAGAAATCAAAAAACTGAGGCAGAGAGAGGTTGAATCTCTGTCAGCAAACACAAAGGAAAGAAAAAAGGACATGAGATAATGGTTCCCAACCAGACATTCAGACCACTACCTTGCTCCCCTCCCCTTTCTTGGATAACAAATACAACACGCACTCAGAAATGAGTGCTTTGGCTCTGGATCTGAATTGTCCAGGTAACTGGACCTCTACTCTTTGGGTATGGGAAACAGACCCTGCAAAAGTAGCAAGAAAAACAAAATAGACATTAGAAAAGGAAACTGTTTACCATATAAAGAATAAAGAATGAAGCCTGTGGCTGCAATGGACACAATATCTAAAAGTACAAATGTTCAGAATGATCTGCTAGAAATCAGCAGGTTTTATACCCAATAATTTTTATTAGCACAAACCTGCTCTTTATCTAGATTTAAAAATCTAGATTAAAATGTTGTTTAATAGGTAGCAGTTCCTATTTACTTATCTAGTTTCTTTCTTCTTTCCTGAAAATTCATTACTCCAGCAAACAGTGCTGTCCCATTTGTTAGCAACTGAAAAGTGAAAAAGAACACAGGCAGGAATAATTCAATTTTTTATTTAAATGAAATTTATAGACACAGTTTGAGGTATTTCATCAGTATTTGTTCTTATTTATACAAGAGCATTTTTTCAGGTGTTGAGTCAGCATGACATGAAGACAAAAAGGTACAGATCCATTTCACCAACATAGGGCAAAAAAAGCAGAATTTTGAAGAGTCTCTTTGAAAGTGTATGGGTAAGAAGGCGTTTATCCCATATTCAGCATGGCATTTAAAACTAACCAAATGTTATTTAAGTCTGGCCTTGGAGAAAGGAAGATTTTCGGGCAGTTTGGAGACAAATTCTCATTTTAAGTAGACATGGTCCACATTAAAGGTAGCCCACAGAACTTGAGATACTAATTTTATAAGGCGTATTCTTTGAAAAAGTATTACAATATTCTAAACGAAATTAAAAATACCTAGATTTTCATGTAGATGTAAACTGACATATTCAGTGTTACCCTTTTTGTACACACTGGTATCTAACCACTATATATCTAACCACAGCATATTTCTATCAGACCTGCCAAAAAGACACAGTCAAGACTGTTTTGTCCACAAACTCAATTTTCAGAAAAGGAAGAAAAAGACTGGCAACATTTTTTTCAGTATAATGAGCAGAGCTTTGCTTTTGAAGGTGCAGCTTTACACAACTTTGTTTCCTCTTTTTCATATTGATTAAAATGAAAGTGTCAGATTTCCTTTTCCTGAAAATTATCTTTCAAATAATCACCAGATAGCCAGTGTCCAATGAATGAGTTTCTTCTTTCACTTTCAAAGATGCCATAAGATAAATTATTTCCCAAATACAGCCTTATTTATATTTTTTAATTGTCTTTTCAGAAACATGAGTATTTCTGTGAGTTTCCTAAAAATTTTAGGGAAAGGCATTTTATCTAAATCTTACCTTTCCCAGTCCATGCTTTTGCAAGCCAGTTTATCTCAGGTTAGCAGTCAGGAAAACCAACCAATAAAACTTACAGGAGGAAGCAGGAGAAAGGGAAGGGGAATTTCCTTAAATGCATTCATCTCGTTTTGCTGTCTCATCAAGTGAAAGGCAAAAGAAAATAGAGGAATAGAATAAAAGCTGAATGAAAAATAGAATGCAAACATCGCTTCAGTTTTAACAGTCCAAAGGAAGTTTAGTAACACGGCTGAAGCAACCTGAGATATATCTGTTTGCTTACAAATCATCTTCAGGTTTTGTACAGACAACAGTTAGTCCTTTGACAGATCGAAAATACCTTTTCTGTTTTTCCCTAGCTGCTTTTCCTTTTCCTGGTATTCATTTTCATCTGTAGAAAAATCCCCAGGGTTTTAGATTTGGTTTTCAGCTTTCTGTCTCCAGAGAGGCTGTTACCTAGCTGCCCGTCTCCTCAAATTCACTGTAGGGGGATGAAGCTGATGAGGTTTTGGACTCTCCATCACTGTTGCACTCCCGTGGGGGACCAAGACTGGGAGCTTCTGGGAGTTCCTTGGCAGACAGCGTTTCTTTACTGTTCGACCCTAAGGGATGACAGTCCAGCAAGCTCTGTAGGTGTTTGATGTAGCTTATTGCAGCTCTCAGAGTCTCCACTTTGCTGAGGCGCTTGTCAGCAAATTCCTTGGGCAGGTGCTCTCTCAGGCGTGTGTAGCCCTCGTTCACGCAGCGCACCCGCTGTCTTTCCCTCTCATTCCTCTTTCGAATGAAGGCAGGCTCAAAGGAATAGTCATAGATGCCCACGTAGCCAGGGAATGGGATGTAGGAGATGCGACCCGTGTGCCCGCTATAGGCTTGCTCCCAGTAAGATGGGTCCAGATGGAAGGGAACCCCAAAGGGCTCTCTTAGGGGGACCCTATGGGGATGCACATGGCTGTTAGCCAGGGACATAGGTCCTGGAAATGCAATCCTGTTCAGTAGTCCATCATCATCTTTACTGCTGTCCATGCTTCTTTTTTTATTCCCAGCCGGTGGAATGTCAGTTCCTGAATTTGGCTTCCAAATCTTGTATCAGTCCAAGGAAGGAGGAAACATTTGTAGAGGTACTCTGCCCCAGTGGCTGCGATTTCCTCCTGCAGTGTATGAAAACTCAGATCTCAAAACACTGCTAAGAATTCATGAGGTCCACTCTGTGCGTGGAAGTCAGCTCTAAGCCTTGTTGTTTTTATAGAAGTTGGATACCAGCTAATTTACAGACAGGTTTTGAGGACCATCACTCCACACTTTAAACCCTTCTTTTCCTCTGATCTTCATATTTCAAAAGATAATAAGAGGGTTCCTGTGTATTCCTTTTCTCTCTGCTTGAAATTATGACCATAAGAGCTAATGCCAAACATAAATAATCTTCCAGGCTCTGAATACTTCTCATGTATTGTAATCCATGATATCGTTTGATATAATTGTCTCCAAAAGATGGGTAATTTGCAAAGTTTACAGGGATCTTCAAAGTTTTGGCAGAACTCCTCCCTCTCAGGAACCAAGGATCTTCTGTCATCTGAAAACTACCCAAAGGCTTTTCACAACGAAATCCAAAAGACAACTGCAAGCTTTGTTGTTTCGGCTGCTCTGGTCTAACTGAAACAGCTTACAAGCTGTTTGCAAACTTATATGGCTCGTCTCTAGCTTTCTGGGGAAACTGAGAAATCTTCAAAGGAAAGAGTGCTCTCTTGTGGTTGCAAGTCATGTCAGATCAAGAATGCACACGTGCAAGCGTAACAGAAAAACTGCCCTCTTCACCCAAAGAGGCTTTTTTAATAAAAGTGAGTTTCACAAATTGAACATGAGGATTTTCAAAAAATCTTCACCATTTTGCATGTTTCTTCTTATTGCAGGGAAGTTCTGATCACCACTATGAGCACCTGCCTCAGATAAACAAAAACAAAGGTGATGCCCTGATTGCCTCCTGTGTAGCTATTACTAGATGTCTACATGGGCATTGGCTTACCTGATGGACCCTACCCAGTGCTTTACCTGGGGAGCTGAAAATCCTTCTTGACTGTGCTAGATCTGTGCTGCATCCTCCAGTTTGCCATCAGCTTTGATGAGGAGAAGAGGCGAACAAAAGAAAAGGACTTTTGGCAGTTTGTAGGGGCATAATGTCCTTATCTGTGCGTTTCCTCTAACTTAACCTAGTTGTGCTGGGATCTCTTTCTGCAGCAAATGAAGGGTCTTTGACATTTCCCCACATTGTGTTCAAGGGCTTCATAGTTATATTTTTTTTCTGAAAACACATCTTCACAGTTAATTGAATTTCTTTTTTTTTTTTTTTTGCCACCATCAGTTTGGGGAGTTGAATGTTTGGTCTGGGAGAGCTGTGGGAAGGGACAGACATGAAAAAGTACAAGCACGTAGACTCCATTAGAACCGTTCTTTTGCTCAAAGTGAAAGTTTCCACCCTGTTCAGCCTTTCATGCCAAACTACCTCAGAAGCGTAACTGAAACTACATCCTCCACTCCGAGAAACACATCTATGTCTCTGCTGAGTCAGAAACCAGCAGCAATCACATCAGCATTCATTTTCAAGTCAGCCTTTGTATCTTTGCTGGCTTATCCTGCAGCTTCAAAAAACAACGATAATCTTCAAAGTATGAAGAACATACAGGCAGACCATTCTAGACAGACGTGACTGAGAACAACCCTGGACTCTAGTTTATGCCAGGGGCAGGGTCAGCATCAAAATGGCTCATAAGACAGGGCAACTGTCCATCTACTTTTGCCTCCACCACCAACATAGCCTAGCAAGAGGTGGTGTTTGAAGCTGGAGGTTTTGTAGCATTACCTAAGAGTTAGCTAATGCATTCCATGAGGGGTTGTGATCTTTTCTGGTCACAAATAAATGTATTTCTAAAACATGTGCCATAGCTCATATAGCAGGCATGGGTGTGAGGGAAGAATTACTGGGGAACACCCCATGGTATGCACAACTCATTTCAGATCAAATGATTATGAGAGCTTTTCTGCCTTAAAAAAAACCCCAACCTTGGAAAAGTTGAACAGTCCAGGCTTTTCACTTCACTATAAACTCTGTTGTCCAGTCCAAATGTTCTCAGAAATGAATGCTTATTCATTAAATGCTTAGAAATGAAAATAACTCATTCACTGTAGCACTAAGGGAGACCAGGACTTAAGAGTTTTCTTAAAACAAAGAGGATGTCAGCCTCTAGCCAGATACCTGAAGTAGGAAAAGGCCATATAATTTGTGTCATCATTACACTTAAAATGCTGCTCCCTAGCAATATTCCTGTGAGGAAATGGAAGCATGCCTCTTGGGGGTCTCAGATGCCAGATCATTTCACAGATCTCCATGACCTTGCCCGAAGACTAGCCAGGTTCAAAAGGCAGGGTTACATTTCAGTCTGCCATGCAAATGCACTATTCCCTGCCACCACACCTCTTTTCTATGTTTACTGTAAATGCAGGTCACTGGCACTTCCCAGAGTGTCAGAATTGCATGTGTACTAAACAGACGTCTGTTCTTCCTACAGGAAAATCCACACTGTTAAACCTTTAGAGAAATAGATGAAGAAAAGCTACAGGTAAATGTTACTTATGAATCTGAATGATTGAAGCTGATCTCATACCAAATGGACTCTGTAGTCTGGTTTTGTCTGTGTGCAAGGGAAATAAGAATATATGCCAAAGGCTTTTGTTGTATCATTGTTGACACTATAATGCCACTTGCTCAGAAAGGGATTTGCCCTTGGCCAGGGAGCCATACAAGGCCAATGCACCTTACATCCCCCTGAAGGTCCTTGTTGAGAGCACAAGTAGGATTAAAGCAACGTATCATTCCCATACCGACTTCTGCACAAAGCAGACCTTTCTCAACGTGTCTGCACATGCAGGCTCAGTGAAAGTAGCAGGACTGGCCCACCAAAGTGACAGGCTAATACACATTCCTTTTAATTTTAAGAGTAGGTTAAGACTCTTGCCTCTTCTAAGGCAAACCTTTGATCTTCTTTCTTACACGGTTTCTCCAATGAACTCCTCTTCACACCTCTGCCTGGATGATGCTTTTACTCCAGAATGCAATATCCTTCATGCTGATACAAAGCAGATGGCTTGGTTTGCTTTCCAGGTGGTACAAACCAGGTGTCATTCACTGCTCGGCAATGACAGAAGTTGCACTGTTTCTATATATATTGTATGTTTTGCTTTGCTTTTGTTTTTGTTTGTTTGGGGGTTGTTTTTTTTTTTATTTGTTTTGTTTGCTTTTTTTGAATACAAAGTTTAAATTGGGATGCTGGAAGACTCCTTACATACTCCACTGACTGTGGCATTCAAAGAGGTTCCCTTCCTTCTTTCCTTCCTTTTACTTCACCTAATTACACAGCCAAAATTAATGGAAAATATTTCTGACATGCCTAAAAACAAAACATTGAGGCATCTTCCTTCCAGATCTAACTTCGTTGTGGTTTTAATTGCATATATCCTAACACAGTATCTACAAGAATGTAGTAACCTTTGTACAAAAGAACCCTCAACTCATTCACACTCCCACAAGAATCATGAATAACACTACTGACACCACACAGTGATTGCTTTGCATTACTTTGAATTACTCAAAGCAACAGATTCTTCTTGACACTGTGTCCCTCTGTGTCTGAAAAGAAAGTCATCCATGGGAATACTGTAGTAGAAACACAAGTGTCAGCTGAGTCCACCTATTTCTCAATAGATGATGTCTCAACTATATTACCTGTGAACACATTACTGGGACAGAAAAAGAAATTACATCAGGAGCTTAAAAAGAAACCCTCACAACATTGTTCACCACTATGACCAGCAGGTTGGGGGAAGTGATTGTCCCCCCCTACTCCACTATGGTAAGACCCCACCTGCAGTAGTTCATTCAGCTCTTGGGCCCCCAACACAAGAGGGATGTGGACCTGCTTGAGTGAGTCCAGAGGAGGCCACAGAGATACTCAGAGGGCTGGAGCACCTCCACTATGAAAAAAGGCTGAGAGTGTTGGGCTTGCTCAGCCTGGAAAAGTCTCCAAGGAGACATTATAGCAGCCTTCCAGTACCTAAAAGGGGGCCTACAAGAAAGATGGAGAGGGACTTTTTTCAAGGGTATATACTGATAGGAGAAGGCGGGATGGAATTAAACTGGAAGAGGGTAGATTTAGACTAGATATTAGGAATAAGTTCTTTACTGTGAGTGTTCTGAGTCACCGGAACAAGTTACCCAGAGAAGCTGTAGGTGCCCCATTCCTGACAGTGTTCAAGGCCAGGTTGGAAGGGGCTTTAAGCAACCTGGTCTAGTGGAAGGTGTCCCTGCCCATGGCAGGGAGTTGGAACTGAATGAACTTTAAGGTCCCTTCCAACCCAAACCATTCTATGATTTGTTATATTTTACTGTGCTATAACTATACCAAATTCTAGTATTTACAATACATATTATAGTTAGTCTGCGCTGCTGCAATTCATTAACAGATATGAAATTGTGAAATTAGCAGTTTCTCGTGTTAACTGCATACCACAGAATTAGAGTAATAACTGCAATTTAGACTGAGATCCAGGAATACACGGTTGAGTAGTTCTGTGCCTCTCTAATCCTGTTTTATCCTTAAGCATAAGCCATCCCTTTCCAGCTCTATAGGTAGCAGAGAGAGCTGCACCTAAACTACCCAGCTTTCATGCTGTGACTATCACCAAAATACACACCTACAAAGCACTGACTAGCCAATAAAGATGGTGAGAAATCTGGATTTTTGATGTTAAAATGGTTGGCGTCAATCTTGGCTTTTTGCATAATCTTCGTTCAGTGTAATCCTGCTCACCCTGAGAAGGAACCCAAAAGCAGGTTTGGAACAGCAGAAGAGAACTGACTGTATTGAGATGTGGGCATGGTCCAGCAGGGATTTCAGCTCACACTAAAGAGGACTGAAGTGTGCTTACTGCATCTCTTTCCCCCGTGGTTTTATAAGTCTCCCTTATCTTTCAGTACATCTCCAGGATCTGAAGACTACTTGAAAAATAGCTCTGCAATTTGTTCCTCACACAGCAAGTACGGCTATAAATGTCAATAAACTAAGCTTTCAGGGGACATAGTGCAGTTGTCTTATCAAAACACTTCACATACAATGAAAGTGTTTGTTATATTAAAGAAATATCTTCCCTTGCAGAAAAAAAGTTCTAAAATGTGTTTTATCACAATACCTTGGGCGTGCAGCATACATCTCTGTAGACACAGATTAATTTCTCATTCACTGACACTTTATATTATCGCTGGCTTCCTTTGATACTTCTGCTTTAGACTGGTAGTTAAGATATCACTCGTTCAAGGGAGTAAAGTGACTACAGAAAAAGCTGGAATCTCAGAGGACTCATGTATGACAGTAGGAAAACACACTCTTATCTGTGTACGATAATATCCAATCTGTCTCCTAGGCTCAAAGTATTGCTTTCAGCTCAGACAGTTGAAATAGCATCAGGATTTCAGCACCAGGGCAGTTCTGCATTAGAACTATCATAATTGGCATTAAGGCAAGCTGAGAGCTTGGGATAACCTAGCATTTCAGGACAGAATTCAGATGTACTGAGTATAACTGTGAAGTTGAAAGGATGACAACTGAAAATGGAAGGTCTCCAGTCATCTCCTACATACTGAGGAATGCAATGTGAAGAGAGAGACTTTTAGGCTTGTAATCATTTGCTGGAGTTTCTAAGATGTGAAGTATTAGCACCAACCATGTGAATATGTGGTACTATACACATAAAAATGAAGCACAGATTAACCCCCCCATCACAAGCTTAGCAGTCCCTAAAAACCTGAGGACTTGATGAATTCTTTCCTGACTTGATGAAATATGTTTGTGAGCCAAACCAGATATACTCAGTCATGGTTAGAGGAAGGATTACCTGGCTTAGTGAAGGAGATGTTACAGGGTATGTGGTAAACTAAATAAGGTCATTGTTTTGGTCATGAATGGCAGAGACCTGTATTTACATTGCCTAAATGTAGTTCTTTATAAGTGATAGGCTAAACTAAATGCACAGGTCCCAGTTACAGGCCATAGCCACAGCTCCAAATTCTTCTCACCCGTCTCAGACATCCAGCTCAGGGTAGGATGAAGCACTCTAAGCAGCAGCCTATTTCTCTCCTTGACCTACTGAAACAGCCTGAAGACCTAGCCTATGCAAGGTGTCTTACTTCCTGAAAGCTAAAGCCAAATTAGGAGAGCATATTTCTACCCTTAGAAGAACCAATGGGTTTGTACTGAAGTGGAATGACCCTTCCAGATTCTACATTTA